AGTGCGGTGAGCGTCACCCGGCCAGAGCCAACCTCCGCGTCGCTGCGTGTGCAGCTGAAGAGGCCGCTGCCCGCGCACGGGCAGGGGAGCGAGTACCACCTGAGCTTGGCGGAGCCGTGGCGCTGCTCCATCGCCAAGGCTCACCTCGGGCGCGCAAGTGCTGCGGCCCGCAACGAGCAGCGGCGGCGGCTGGCAGAGCTGTTGCTGGCGGACTAGGTCTCGATGGGGTGGTAGCGACTAGCGTGTGATCGCGCTCCTGATGTATGTGTGATATGTATCCCCCATGCACACTGTGCGCTGAGGTTATCAGGAGCCGGCACCTCATCTCAGCCATCTCAATGGCGGTGATGTGATGCCGCGGTTATAAGCAATACGCTCCGCATCACATGTTCACATCGCAGAAGTTGCCAGAAGACTCACACGAGAGACACGACGGGCGGGACACCGGATCCGGAACGGGCAAAAACGGGCAAAAACGGGGTGATTTCGGTCATCCGTCAAAATATCTGAAGATCTGGCCGGGGGATTCTCCCCAAACCTTGCTCAGCTGATCCAGCACGGGCCGTAGGCCAGCCCTGGGCAAAGAAACCAGTACCTCAACCGGCTTCCCTGAGCGTCACAGCTCGGTGATCGCGCCGGCCGGACACAACTGTGACGTCCGTTCCGGGCATTTGAACGCGACCTTCGGGGGCAAAGACATGGGCTCTGTGGCTCAGACTGGACTCCTCTTGGTCCCTTCTGATGCCCTAGGCCACACCTGGGCCTTACCTGGGGTCCTAGGGGCCGGGCAGGGTTTGCCCGAAGATAAATAAATTGCCCGGGAGGCCCACGGACAGCGACCCAAGTCGAGACGGACAGCGACTGTCCTACCACGATGACCTCCTCCAACCAAAGTGACAGCGTCGGCAGCACGCTGGGCAGCCTCGGTGCGATGACCGCGTGCACGCTTGGCGCCGGGATCGCAGGCGGAGTCCTCTACATGGCAGTGCAGCGCATGAACCGCGCGAGGGCGGCCAGCCGCCGCCTCTCTGAACTCATCGCCGCCGCCACGTCGGCGGGCGAGGCTCGCATCGTCATCACCGGCGCCACGAGCGGCGTTGGGGAGGAGCTGACGCGAGCCTTCTCGCAGCACTCCTCCGTCTCGCTCCTCCTCGGCTGCCGGAACGCTGAGCGTGGGCAGCGGGTGGTGGAGGGCATCACTCGGCGGGGTGGGCAGGCCAGGCTCGCGCCGCTTGACTGCCTGGACCTCGGGTCGGTGAAGCGGTTCGCGGGCGAGGCGAGCGCGTTTCTCGACGGAGGCGCCGACGGCTTGAGGCTGCTGCTCAATAACGCCGGCGTGATGCGGGCGCCCGAGGATGCGTCGGCCGACGGCTGTGACGCCACGTGGGCGACAAACTTCCTCGCTCCGGCCGTGATCGCAGAGACGGTCGCCGCAAACACGCGGCTGCGCGAGGTGGTTGTTGCGCATCCACGCCTCGCCCTCCACTGCGGGCCCGCTCTCGCCTCACGTCTCTTATATCAGCCTCCTCTCTCGCCACACGCCTCGATCTCTCTCAGCCTCCTCTATCCGCCTACTAGGGTTAAGAATCCACACCTCAAGCGAGACGTTGACCACACCTCTCGCTACGCGTCTCTTTCAACCTCTCTCGGCCCGGCAGGTGCGCGTGGTCAACGTGTCGTCCCGGCTCGAGGCGCGCTCGCGCCTCGACGCCGACATGCTCGCCGCCGCCGCCGCCGCGGACCCGGCCGCCCGCAAGTCGAGCTACGCCGACAGCAAGCGCGCGCTGATGCTGTGGGTCGCTCTCCGCGCCGGGCCACTCTCCGAGCGCGGCACGCGGCTCGCCGCCACCACGCCGGGCATGGTCGACACGCAGCTGGGCCGCCACTCCGTCCGGCCCCAGCTCTGGCCGCTCACCAAGCCGCTTCGCTGGCTGCTGCTCCGCTCGCCCGCGGAGGGGGCGGTCGCCGCCTGCGCCGCGGGGCTGCAGCCGCCAGAGGGCGGTGGGCCCGGAGGAGAGGGCGAGGCCGGCTGGTACATGGACGGGGAGCGGACGCTGGAGCACCTGCCCACGCAGCGCGCGCTGAGCGAGCGGCCGCTGGCAGAGGCGGTGTGCGCTTGGGTGGGGCGTGTCTGCGGCGAGAAGTGAGAGCGCCGGCTCGAGCGCTCTGACCCTCGACGGCTCGACGGCTCGCGACGGGACGCGCCACCGGGCACCAGGGATTCGGTCCTGGCCGTTCCTCTTGGGTGTCGTACGGTATTTCGTGCATCGTGGACGCGAGAGGACGTGTTTTGCACGGTGTTTTGCGACGAGGATCGAGCGGTGGCAGGTGGCGGGAGCCCTGTGGGAGTCTGTGTCAGTGTCTGTCCGCCGCGGTACCGCCGCGCGGACACAGGCGCGGACTCCCCGCGCGATGATGTGTTTTTTTGTATACCGTCAGGAAAGTGGCCCCTCCGATATGTAGCGGACATCCGCGCTACATATCGCCTCGGCCGATACGTATCGCTGGAGGGTGCTATGTAGCGCCCCGTGATATAGCGCCCGGCGGTGATACCATATCGGCGCCGCTACGGCTTTACCATAACGCCTGGTGTGCTACATACCGGTCAGTGCTACCCATATCGCTGCCGGGTGATACACATCGGCGGCGCTATATACCGGAGTTGCGTGGTACATATCACCCCAGCCGGCTATATAGCGCCTCAGATCGCCACATAACGCTCGCGCTACATACCGGTCTCACTGGTGATATGTAGCACTCGCGCTACTTATGGGTCCGTATACGTTAAATGCGTGCGCTACACTAGCGGGACACCTTTTGCCGGACCGCTCTGGCTGCCCCTCGTCTGCTGCCCCAGCTTTTTCAGTTCGCTCGCGCGAGCTGAGACTCTGGCATTGTACAAGCCGTTGGCCAGCAGAGCAGTTGCGAGGGCAATCATCGGCCATCGAACGTTGGTTACGACAGCGCTGCCCACGTAGCCGTAGGACGTGCAGACGGGTATCTGCTGCGGCGCGGCTGCGGCGCACAGGAGCGCGGCTACGAAGGAGAGGCCCGCCCTTCCCGCCTTGTGGTCAAGAAACTCTGCACGGGAGCGGATGGACGAGAGACCGCAGGCGGCGAGGAAGAGGACGACACCGGTGAGGGAGAGAAGGAGAAAGGTGGTGCTTTCGAGCAACGTGTTGGTTTCTGCGGCGATGCTGTGTCCAGCCGCTGCCGCGAGTGAGACTCCAACGATGAGGTCAAACACTCGAGCTGCCCGCTTCGACTTGGTACTCCGCTGCTGCTCCAGAGCGATTCCCCCGGCCAGCGCCGCGTCCTGGCCGACGGCGGCTGCGACTGCAATCGGCGGAGATGCGGCTCCCTCCTTCATGGGTGCAGCTTTGGGCCGTGACGGGCGCTCCTTTCCACCGAAGCTACGGGGGGATCTACGGGTCCCCCGAGCGGCGGGAAAATGGGGATTTTCTTTTTCGTGGAAAATTCTTTTTCGTCTATTCTCGATTGATGTGTGTACACGATTCTCTAACATGCATGGCATGTGCCACGTGAATTTCTCGCGAATTTTCGAGTGCTCGAGCTCGTATACTACGTACACGTGCGAAAGTGCTCGACGACTTTCTCGGCTACGGTTCCGACTCCGTCTTCGTAGTTGACAAGCTGCCGAGCCCAAGTCACTGTGAGTGCTAGATTTCTTGTCGGCTCCTAAAAATCTCTCTCTCTCTCTACACGACTCCGACGACCGACGTGCGCGCATGCACGTACCACGTTCCACGTTGCACGTAAATGCCGTGTGGCTGTTGGCGATATGATAAATTTCGACAAGCTCGACTAAGGAATAGCATGCCGGCATCCGAGAGTGAGTGCGGCCGAAGCGACTGCGAAAAAGCGACAGGTAACGCAGGACCCGTCGCTTGATCGTTGATGTTGATGAGCATGCGATGCATTCAAACATCCACCACAAAGATCAAGGATGTCGGTGCGACGAGAAATCACCACAGGATCCCAGGCGTGCGCACATCCTTCAGCAGTGGTAGCATGGTGTCCTCCACCCATTTCTTGAAGTCCGGCGTCTTGTCGTCCATCATCGCCTTGATCTTATCCCTCATCTTAGCGTCGATTGCAGACCCCTCGTTGAAGATGGAGTCGGAGAACTGGACGATGTAGCGGAAGTCCGCGATGGTGGGGCTGTCCGTGCCAGCGAGGAAGGGCTTGCCGTGCTTCTTCAGCTGCGCCTCTCCCCATTCGGCTAGCTCTGTGTACATCGCCACGAGATTCGCCGTGGCCTCGCCGTCTGAGTCCGCGAGCGAGTCGACTTTCGCCGTTGTTCTAGCGACGAGGTAGAGGGTCATCGGGGTGAAACCGGCGTGCTTCCACACCTGCTCCACCTTCTCCATACAGACGTCAATCTCCCACGCCGTCGCCGGATCAGTCGAGTAGAAGCCGTGCTTCATGCCGAGCATCCGCAAGATTGCGTTGCTCTCATAGTATAGTGTGCCATCCTCGACATAGACGGGCAGGCCTCCTCCGGTACCCTTCAGTTTTGTTGGATTGCTGTTAAAATCGCCCTTCGCCTTGCGGCTCGCGTACTCCTCACTCTTAGCACCAAACAAGTCGTCCTCAAAGTCCACGTTCGCGAGCTTGAGCACGAAGCGAATCGGCTCCCCTCTTCCGCCGATGTCGCCAAAGTACGTCAGTCTGGGCTTTGTCATGTCGGAGAGGAAGCGCGCCGTGCGTCTGAAAGGAAATCCGACTGTCCGCCTCGGCAGAACGCGGAGCATGCACTGGTAGATTTCCGCCGACGATCGTACGTCCGGGGGGGGCGGGTCTAATCATTCGAGTTCATGCCAAAAGGGGATGGAATTCTTATTCCCCCCTGACAGATTCTTCTCTCACATAAACGCACAACCCCGGGCCCGAAATTGCACAGAGACAATCACGCAACCCGTTCTTCTCTCACAACAACAAACCTAAAACAGACAGTGATGCATATATACATGTAGCTCTCTTGCGAACATTCCCGAAGGAGGACTGCTGACAGGGTTTGCGATGAGGAGCGACTCCGAAGGGTTTCTCGGGGTTAGGCACTTTCTTTTCGGTACGACAAGAAAAGCTAAATAAATAAATAATAAAAGGGACACGCCCAACGTGCAACGAGGGAGGGGTGGGTGGGAGAAAGAAGAACAGGCCCCCCCCACCTTGAGCACTTGAGCACTGGATAGGGTCGATTCCGCATGGTACGGGACCCCTCGATCGTCGTCTCGCCCTCCCTCACTGGTGTGTTCATTGGGGGGGGTCATAATGTTTGTCCCCACCTGCACGAGCAGGGACCAGGGTCTTGGAAGGACGATCAGGGACACAGGGGAACGGGAGCGGGGAGCGCATCGCGACACGGAGGGGGGCTGGGCAGGGTTCACCCACACGACAGGGTCCCAGGGATTCCCCTCTCATATACAGGACAGGTTGCACCCGGCGGCACGGGGGCAGGCGCGGGCCTCCGTCTGGTTGCGCTCTCCTAGTTCTCCTGCTACTGACAAAAGGGTCAGCGACAGGTCGCAGCACGGTGGACTCCCTATTCCACTGGCGATCTCTCTCGACTAGCGACCTTCCTCCGGCTTCTCGCTGGCAGTCTCTCACTACCACGGGCACACTGACAGAGGCTGCCGATGCAGGGGCGGTGGCAGGATAGGAGTCTCCCACTCTGTGGGCTTCGCTAGAGGTGCGGCCTGTGCGCGTGTCCTCGCCCTTGCGGTCGTGAGGGGGGCGGGGAAGGGGATGTGTGCATGTGTGTGTGTGCATGTGTGTGTGTGCATGTGTGTGTGTGTGTGTGTGTGTGTGTGTGTGTGTGTGTGTGCATGTGTGTGTGTGTGTGTGTGTGTGTGTGTGTGTGTGTGTGTGTGTGTGTGTGTGTGTGTGTGTGTGTGTGTGTGTGTGTGTGTGTGTCGGTGGTGCGATGGTGGTGCGTGCGTGCGTGTGCGGGCGCTGTGCGAGCCGCCCTGAACGACCACAATGACGAGTGCGCCCGAGCACCTACAAGTAACAAGAAAAAGAAGGAGGGAATTGGCATCCCACGCTAGGGCTGGACAGAATCACTGCCTTTGCTGCCACTCATGAAATCGTTGGGTCGCTTCAGTTCACAAAGTCCCCCCGTGGGCCGACCCTCCGATTTTATGAGAAGAGAACAAAGGGAGTGGGACAGAATCTGCCCGGGCCGACCCTCACAGCTCACAGCTCACCTACGAGAAGAAAGAAAGAAAGAAAACAGACAACCCAAGGGAGGGATGGGACGACGGCATGACGGCTTCACGGCAAGACTGCCCCCCTAGATGTTAGGGCCTGAGAGTAGATTTAGGGGAGTCTTCCAAAGCCACACAGAAGCCCCGTGGGGGGTCCCCTGACCACACAGGCAACACTGAATGCCCACGAGAGCTACCCTAAGACATCTGGAGCCGTGCGTCACTTTGAGTGTGGGCCGCGGCCGGGGCCCCCTGGCCTGTCAGTGCTGGCTGCGGCTCCGCGGGCCGCGCCGCTAGAAACCCGCCGCGACACCGTCACACCGTCGCTGCATCGTCTCATCCAAGCCAGACAGTAGAGGCCCACTAGGAGCCAGAAGAGACACCTCAAGTCACTTACGCGGGAAGTTGGCGCGTGGACCGCCGGGCGGGCGCTGCGCTGCTGGTGCTGCTGGCGCTGGCGCTGGTGCGGGCGATTGCTCGCGGCGGTGGCGCCGATCGCCGCGCCCTAGGCCGCGCCGCGGCGCAGTCGGTGGCGCCTCCTCCTCCTCCTCCCCCTCCCCCTCCCCCTCCCCCTCCTCCTCCCCCTCCTCCTCCTCCTCCTCGCCCTAGGCTAGCGGCCTAGGCGTGCCCGCGGGGGCTCTGCAAACAGCCAAACGGCTCCGCGCGGTCGGACCGTCTTTTTTTCAGACTGAACTATTCTGGGCACCAAGGATATGTGCTGCTAGATCTCACTGAGCTGAGCTCATATCTGCCCTTGCGGGCCTTGGTACCCTGTTTTGAGTTCGGGAATGCCTCCGGTACCCTGTTTCCGTGTACGGAGGGCCGCGTCCGGACGATCATGGTGCCCCCCCGGGACCCCCCGTGCGGGGACCTTCCCATGTCGAGGCCGGCCCGAGCGGCCACCGGAACGGACGCCGGAGCGGCCGCAGGGGCTGGTGCCATCGCGCCGCGCCGCTGGCGGGCCGCTGCCATAGAGCTCTCGTGGGCGTGCTATGCGCGCTGCTATTGGGGGTGGACCAATACTGAGCGAACAAAAATTGACCCCGTTCGGTTACGACGGCAGCCCTCTTCACTTAGTGTGAGCCTCGTGCGACGTGCGACTCGGTCCGTAACGCGTAAGCCGAGGCGCGAGGGCACCCGCGCGCCACGTGGGTAGGCTCCGCTTGCCATCTGGGGGCGATGCGGGCGGGCGCCAGAGCCCACCCTAAATCGTATGGTACCCTACTTCGAAGGGGAGGGCGTGAATCCGAGGGGGGTGGAGGAGGCGCTCAATTGCTGGGAGGAGGGTGCGTACGAAGCGGAGACGCTGGAGACGCTCGCCGAGTTCGGCGATTGAGCGCCTCCCTCTCTCTCCGGCTGCGCGCCTGACCGGTGCGGCCTCCGAGTCGGCGTCTAGCGCGCGCGATAAGGTTTTTGCTCGCCTTCCCTGGGACCCCGTGTTGCATGTCACTGTCATCACTGTGCGATTTCGGGGCCCGGGGTTGTGCGTTTACGTGAATCCGAGGAAGCCACCCGTGAGCGGCTCCAAATCTTTTTCTCGTGCTGCACCCCACCAAGCTCTCCGGCGATCGGCACAAGATCGAGACGTCGGCGCGATATATGCAAACGTTGACCGTGGCAGTGATCGGCGTCGTCATCGTCGTGGTCGCTGGCCGCCGGAGGTTGACGCGTAGACGCGCTGCGTCTCCACGCTTGGTGCGTAAGGCCGCCTTTCTCGCCCGTGCCGGGTCTAGCTACGGCTACGCGGCTTCAGCAGCCGGCCACATTGATAGCTGGCGGAGCCGTGAGCTGCCCGTGCTTGTTCGGCCTGCCGAGGCGCAGCGATGCGCGGATGGCGAGCAGGGCATCGTCTACCTCGACCACGCCGGCGCGGCGCTCCCACTCGCCTCGCAGCTCAGAGCCGTAGCAGAGGACTGCACGACACGACCTCTCGGCAACCCGCATTCGGCGGGTCCGGCGGCGGGCGCGGCCAGCGCCGAGCTCGACCGCGCCAGATCCCTCGTGCTCGCCCACTTCTGCGGCTCGCATGCGCCGGACTGGGAGGTGATTTGGACGGCGGGCGCGACGGCGTCGCTGAGGCTGGTGGCAGAGCACTTCCAGTTCTGCGGCCGCTCGGCACTGCTGATGCCGTCCGCGTGCCACACCTCCGTGCTCGGGATGCGAGGGCCCGCCAGCGGCCGGGGAGCAACGTGCCGCTGCGCAGACCGGCCAGGCGACCTGCTGCGGCTGGCGGCACAGGCGACAGAGGCAGCCGAGGCAGAGGCGGCAGAGGCAGAGGTGGAGCCGGCGGCAGGGTCGGAGGCAGCGGCGGGGGCGGGAGCGGAGGCGGAGGCGCGGGCTGTGCATCATCTCGCGGTGCTTCCGGTTGAGTGCAACCTGACCGGAGACGTCTCCGACATTCGGGCGGCTTCGGCGGGGCTCGCGCAGCTTGGGACCGGTCACGGCGGTGTGTGGTGTGTGGACGCCTGCTGGACGCCGCAGCAGCAGCTAGCCCCGACCCGCGGCCCCGACCCTCGCCCCAGGCACGTGGTGGCTCATGCTGGACGCCGCAAAGGCGGCGGCGACGGGTCCGCTCCACCTGCACGCCAGCGGAGCGGCCCTTTGCGCCGTCTCCTTTTACAAGCTGTTCGGCTCTCCGACGGGGCTGGGCACGCCTCCCGCCCGCTTCTCGCTCCCTCGTGTCCGAACCACCCTCTCTCCCTCTTCTGCCTCCCTCCCCTCCCTCCCTCCCCTCCCCCACTCCCTCCGCCTGCTCCCGCCTAGGCGCGCTGCTCGTGCGGCGCGACGCGCTGCGCCTCCTGCGGAAGGACAGCCGGCACGGCTACTTTGGCGGAGGCTCGGTGGCGGCGGCGTTGCCGCACCCGCTCTCCTCGCCGCCAGCTGCGCCGCCGCACGCCCCTCGCGACGACCAGAACGGCTGCGGTGGAGGCGGCAGCGACGCCGGCGGCAGCGACGCCGGCGGCAGCGACGGCAGCGACGGCGGTGGAGCTGGAGTTTGCAGCGGTAGCGGCAGTGGGCGGGGAGGCGGCGGCGGCGAGACTGGTCCTGCAACCTTCTTCAACCCTCCCAAGCACGCCGCCGTCGACGCCTTAGCCGACGGGACAGCGCACTACTTGGGCGTCGCGGCGCTGGCGCGAGGGTTCGAGGTGCTCGAGGCGGTCGGCGGGCCGGCCGCCATAGCGGCGCACACTCGCGCACTCGCGGCCGAGCTCCGGTCCCGCCTCCGCTCCCTTCGGCACGCCGACGGGCGGCGCGCGGTCGTGCTCTACGGTGCGTGGGCGGGCGGCGAGGGAGGCGCCGGCGAGGGAGGGGCCGGCGAGGGAGGAGCCGAGGGCGCCGTTCGCACTTCGCTCGGCGGACCAACAGTCGCCTTCAACGTCGTGCGGCACGACGGCAGTGTCGTCGGGTACGCCGAGGTCGGCAAGCTCGCGGCGCTACACCGGCCGCCGATCCAGCTGCGCACGGGCTGCTGCTGCAACCCGGGCGGGTGCCAGGCCTTGCTCGGCCTGAGCGAGGCGGGCCGTGCTCGCCGCGCCGCCGGCACATCTCGGCACAATCTCGGCACAATCTCGGCGCATCTCCTCTCAGGCGGACGTGCTCGACGCGGTGCGCGCGGGGAAACAGTGCGGCGACGAGCGGGACGTCTTGGGCGGCCGGCCGACCGGCGTGGTGCGCGCCTCGCTCGGCAAGGACTCGAGCTGGGAGGACGTGGACGCCTTGCTCTCCTTCCTGCACGAGACGTTTGTGCTCGTGCCGGCGGAGCGCACGTCCTCCGCCGACGCCGCCGACGCCGAGGCGGACCCGCGTCCGGCCGCACCTTGCCGCGTGCTCGAGCTGTTCGTGCACCCTCTCAAGTCGTGCGGTGGCATGCGCGTGCGGCGGTGGCCCCTCGACCCGCTCTCGGGTCCGCCTCCCCTGCCACCCGCCGAACTCGCCGGTGAAGCGCCCCTCACTGTCCCCCCTCTCCAACTGCAGGGCGGTTGCTCTATGACCGAGAGTGGGGCCTTGCCGGTCCATCCGGCGCCCCTCTCTCTCTGCGCCGGCGGCCGAGCCGCTCACCGCGCGCCGCACCGACTCCTGCTCCCGCACGCAGGCACGCTCCTCCGCTCGACGGCCCACCCTCGCCTCGCCCTGCTCCGGCCGGAGCTCGACCTCGCCGCCGGGCTGCTCACCGTCTCTGCGCCGGGCCTCGCCACACTCACGCTCTCGCTGCCGCTGGAAGAGAAGCAGGCGAGGCGAGGGTGGGCCGTGGAGCGGAGGAGCGTGCCTGCGTGCGGGAGCAGGAGTCGGTGCGGTGCGCGATGAGAGGCTCTCCCGAGGGGCACCGCAGCGCGCCCGCTCCCCCTCGAGCTCCCCCGAGGAGTCGCTGACGCTGTGCGGCGAGGAGTGCTACGGCGCGGCGGTCGGAGGGCCAGAGGCGGCGCTGTGGTTCGAGCGCGCAGAGGGCGTGCCGTGCCGGCTCGTGCGCTGCTCGCGCGCGCGCGGCCCGCCGCTGGCAGGGGGCGGTGCCGCCTCGATTGGCTTTGCCAACGAGGCGCCGCTGCTGCTCGTGTCGCAAGAGTCCGTCGAGACGCTCAGTAGCGCGTTGCGGTGAGCGGCCCCC